TTGCATTTTCAAATATGTATTGATTCTTAGTATTGCTAGTTATATTGAATATTTTTTGACAATAATAATAACATCTTCACTTAAAATGGCTTCTTCGTACACTGATAGATGGAGCATGTTCGATCACACTGCATTTTATCGTTTTTTTTTTTTTTGGAAATTTTCAAATAAATATACCACAGAGATACGTACTACAAAATTGACATTTTCAATTGTAATCAATAGGTTTGAAACTAAAAAAAATCTAATCTGTTGGTAAAAGCTGAATGACATTTTATCAGTTCCTAGATCAATTAAATTAATCAATCATTAAGCGTTTAATTAAATAGTTAATTAATAGTTTGCTCATTTATTTGACTGTTACCAATAATTTTATGAGTGTTGTCTCTAATGAAATCGTCCATTGTTTTATTCTTAAATAACTGCATAAACTGTTTGATTTGCAAAATTTAAAGTTAAAGTAAATTTTTACCATGTAATTTATAGCCTTGCAAATAATTACTATAATTTTATCATTGCTGAATAGAATTATATTTGTCATATTTTCCGATTTGCAACTATAGCATTCGAATATTCCCCGTCATTCTTCTGATTGATCTATTCCCGGGGCAGTTTTGAGGTGTTCTTTTGTGCTGTTCTTTTAATTGTTAATCCATTATCATATCAATGTTACTTGTTATAATCTTCTCTTCCTTTACTTGTAATGATATAATTAATGCTTTTTGATTGGTTAAGAAAGCAATTTTTTCTAGCAATTTCATATAATTTTTTGATTAAATTTCAATTTATGAATGCAAAAATGAATCATTTCAGGAATCAATAACATTTAACTATTGCAGCATTGATAGCAATCAGAAATTAAAATTTGTCAGATCAATCATTCAAAACGTTTGCAGTGCTTATCATCAGGCTTGGTATTTTTTTATTCATCCAATTTTTGCATAAATTATATCATTGCAAATCATATCATATTTGAATAACGATTTCATTTATTTCATTTCCGTCTCTCATGAAATATTAGATATAGCAAAATTGTCATAACATTGACGGAATCCATAATAATTACTAATTATCAATTATTTACTGGACCAAAATGATATTCATTTCTAGTTTTTTTTTTTTTT